AATGGCCCACAGGGTGGGGTACCTCTGGGCCAGGTCAGGACCATGCCCCTTGTGCCTCCAGGTGGTCCTGCTCGGGGACCACAAGCAGCTACGGCCTGTGGTCAAGGACAAGCAACTGCAAAACCTGGGGATGGATCGGTCTCTCTTTGAGCGGTACCACAGGGATGCCTTCCTCCTGGACACACAGTACCGCATGCACCAGGCCATCTGCACCTTCCCCTCCATGGAGTTCTATGGGAGGAAACTGAGGGCCTGGCAGGGCCTGAGGCGACCAGCCAGCATTCTGGGCTGTGCTGGCAAGGAGAGCTGCTCTATCATTTTTGGCTATGTGCAGGGCCAGGAGCAGAGCCTGCTGGTGTCCACAGATGAAGGAAATGAGAACTCCAAGGCCAACCTGGAAGAGGTGGCAGAGGTGGTAAGCATGAGAGAGACCCTCCCTGGTGCCCCCATGGGTCAGGACTGGGGTGTCTTCCTGGAGGAGGAGGAGGAGGAGGAGGAGGAGGAGGAGGAGGAGGAGGAGGAGGGAGGGAAGACTTCCTGGAGGAGGAATTGGGGTTAAGAAGGGCTCACTGGATGAGGGGAAGGAGGAGGAAGTGTCAGAGAGGCCTTCTAGGAGGAAGAGGGGCCAAGGGAACTTGAGGGAAGCTCATGTGCCCTGGGCCCAGATGGCACCATGGTCCAGCTCCACCTGCCACTTTGTCCGCTCAGGTTCGGATCACCAAGCAGCTGACCCTGGACCGGACAGTAGACCCCCAGGATATTGCTATCCTCACACCTTACAATGCACAGGCTGTAGCCATCAGCAAGGGCCTTGAGAGGGAGGGTGTCACTGGAGTAACTGTGTCCTCCATCACCAAGAGCCAGGGTGAGGTTGGATTTGGGGAACCCACACCTGGGGGTCAGAGTGCAGTGGGTGTGGGGAGCACCTGCAAGCTCACCTCTCACCCCAGGGAGTGAGTGGCGCTATGTGCTGGTGAGCACCGTCCGCACGTGCCCCAGGAGTGATGTGGACCAGCGACCGACCAAGAGCTGGCTCAAAAAGTTCCTGGGCTTCGTGGTGGACCCCAACCAAGTTAACGTGGCCATCACCCGGGCCCAGGAGGGGCTCTGCCTGATTGGTGAGGATGTGGGGGCCCAGGAGAGGACTGGGGCTGCTCCCTGTGGGCACTCAGATGGGCTGGAGCTGCTTTCCTCTGCCCGCAGGAGACCACATCCTGCTGTCCTGCTGCCCTCTCTGGCGCCGTCTCCTGGACTTCTGTGCAGCCCAGCAGAGCCTCGTGCCTGCTAGCCAGGTGCAGGTCCGAAGGAGGCCAGCAATGTCTTCCTGAAGAGTCCCTCTCTGCCTAGCTCAGGATATGCTGGTGGAGAGCATGGCCCTCTCCCTACAGTGGACTGGAGCCCAGGGCAGGTGGCCGTGTCAACTTGCCACCGTGGCTGCTGGGAAGGCCCAGGCGGCTGGCAGCAGCTGGTGTTGACCTCTTCCTGGGGGTGATCTTCCTGTTTGTGCCTGAACTTGGAAGGAGAAGAGGGACTGGAGTGAGCCCCCCTCTCTCTCTGCTGTGCTGCTCTCCCGGGGTGGGACGTTGGGTGATAGGACAGCCTCTCGGCAGCCGACCATTGAGGCCATATTGGCAGGAGACACCCCTGTCACCGGGAGGCCTCAGGTAGGAAGGAGACCTCTTTGAGGCTGCATTTTGACCTTCAGACCCTCTGGGATCACCCTGGCATGGCATCTGCCTTCTTTTCTAGTTTCAAATACACCAAAGCCAGCATCTTCTACTGGGACCACAGGCAGGGCCAGGACCTCCCTTGGAGAGGGGCCATTTCTCTGCCCTCACTGCCACTGTCCTGTAGAGACCCCTGCCTGTCGGGGGAGGCCAGTCAAGCCAGACGGCATACAACACTCGTGAGGGTGGGTGGGCCAAGGGCCAGGAGCAAGGTGCCCCAGACACTCTGGGCTGCCTCCACCCCAGCCACACTTGTCCAGGCCCAGAGCCCTCAGGACAACTTGCCTGGGGCCCTTTCTCTGCAGGGTTGAGTGGGTGCAGTCTCCCTGCTTGAGCTTGCCCCCACCCACCCACCCACCTGGAAGCAGCTCTCCTTTGTTCACCCCCTCTCCTGAGTCTTGAGGTGCCGCCAGCAAGTCAGCCATCCAAGGAGGTGCAAGAGGCCTCCCTTCGCCTCTGCAGAGCCTTCTGTGGGAGGAGTGCCTGTCCACTGGGGTTTTCTACAAACCAGGTTTCTGTATTCCAATTTTCAACCTTTTCTCAGATTCCACCTCATGATTAAATTTTTAAAATATATTTTTTGTTGTTGATCGAACTCTATTTTATTCATTTCTTTGTGGTGCTGAAAATTGAACCCAGGGCCTCACACGTGCCAGGCAAGCCCCAGCCCCAGCCCAGCCCCTCATGATTAAATATTAATGGTGTTATAAAGACCCCTCTGAAAGCTGCTCTCACTCTGGGTGCTTTGAGGTTGGGCAGGGGCAAAAAGTGTTGTCCTTCATCTTCCTTAGGACGTGGTCACCAGGGGTTCCCAGTGGACAGATGCTGGACCTGGGAGCAAGTGGAGAGGATGGCAGCACCCAGATTTATGACCAAGGGCACCAGCTGTACCGCCTGAGGTCGTCTGTGCAGGGACAGTGGAGGAGGGGGACCAAGTTGGCAAGGATGGGGAGCCTTGTCCAGAGCTGCATGGCCAGCCTCATGCTCAGTCCCCAGACTGGGCTGAACCAAAGTAGCCCATGAGGCCAGGGGCCAGGTCCCTGCAGCTGTGGTCTGCATAGCACCCTGCCTTGTCTGAAGTTGCTCCTCAGGCCATGGGCACCCCCAAGCAGACCTGGGCTGTGACAGCATCCTTCTGGTTTGTGGCTGGCTCTCCCTGGCCTCCCCTGCACCCTCTGTACTGCTCTCCCTTGCCAGCAGAGAGATCAGATGGGTGGGATGTGGCAGAGAGAAGCTGGAGGGAAAATAGGTCCCCTGGAGGGAGGTGCTGTGGGAGGTGCTGCTTAGAGAACACTTCTAGGGCAGCTGTAAAAGAATTGCAGAAGCCGGGTACAGCGCCTAGGCCTGTACTCCCAGCAACCAGGGAGGCTGAGGCAAGAGGATCACAAGTTTGAGGCTAGTCTCAGTAATTTAGTGAGGCCTTCAGCAACTTAGCAACTCTGTTTCAAAAATAAATAAATAAAATAAGAAAGGCTGGGAATGTGGTTCAGTGGTTAAGTGCCCCTGGGTTCAATCCCTAATATGACAACAACAACWACTATTGCAGAGTTTTGGGGTATCTCCTGAGATTGGTAGGTGCCCCCAGGCAGAGGCAATTGGACCTCACCAGCCATGAGTTGGGCTTCCGGGGGAAGGGGTCTTGAAGACCAGGGGGAAGCCAGGACTGGACCACTGCCAGCAACAAGGGTTTAAGGAGACCATGTTGGAGTGAGAAAGGCGCTCAGCTCCTGCGCCTTTCTCAAAGATACAAAGGTAGGAAGCCCCATGGAGTGAGTCTGAGGGAGGGAGCAGCCCAGGCGGGTGTGCCCAGGGGCAGGACCTACTCAGGGTGGCTCCGCTCTGAGCTGCTGCCTCTGGGCCTGCTGGAGGCATGAGGCTGGGCCAGAGATGCCAGGACCCGGGCAGCCCTCCAATGGGCATGCCAGAGTACTGGACCCAAAGATGCTTCCCTTGGCCAGCCCCTACCGAGGCCTCCCCTCTCCAGTGGGTTGGGTGTGACACAGCACAAACCCCAGTCCTCACTCCACAAGCAGCACAGGAGCAGTGGCATGCTGACCCTGGACATCTGGRATGGCCTATCCCGTAGGACGGCCAGAGGCAAGTCCCCAAAGCCACATGATGCCAGAGTGGCAGGCATGGAGGGCTCACAGGAACCATGGGTGGGCCTGCAGCCGGAGAGCCCTGGGAAGGGAGCTGGGCTGCTGAGGCCTTTCTGACCCACTGGGAGCTGCCCATCCTTTGCAGCAAACCATCCCTTTGCCAATGGAAAAAGGGGTCCCTTTCCTTTACCCTCCTAGCCCCTGCCAGACCTGAGAGCACTGATGTGCGTGGTGGGTGGGAAACTGGACGTGCATGTGCTGGTGTGGCTCTGSTCCCTGTGGTCCGCCCCCGCCTCGCCTGGGTGCAAGGTGCACCCTGTGGCCCTGGAGGTGACCCGGCCTGCATCCACGTCTCCTGAGTCAAGTGGGCTGTGTKTGAGACCATCTTCTGGCTGCACCAGGGTCACACGACCAGGCTGGAGRACATGGACTCTCGAGGCTCCTCGGGTGACATAGGGGTCTGGTCACCTGCATAGGGAGAGACCACCAGCAGCTGGCAAGGAGGGTTGGTGGGCAGAGGGATGGCCACCCCACAGGAGCTATGSTACTGGCTAGCATCTTGGGGAGGCTCCTGGTCAGGCTCCCTTGCCAGGACCCTCACCCACTTCGTGATGGGGGTACCGATGAACTTCAGCTTTTCTTGGGGAGAATATAAGACGTTTATCTTTTATTTTAAAAATAAAATGTGGGCTGGGGATGTAGCTCTGTTGGCAGAGTGCTTTCCTCGAATGCACAAGGCCCTGGGTTCAATCCCCAGCACCACAGAAAATAAATAAATAAAATGTCCTCTTGGTCTCAGGCACCCTGGCTCCAAGGAAGCTGCAATACTAGCGTGGGGGCTATGACTGCCCCCGTGGTGTCCAGACAGGACCCCAGGATGTCACCCTCTCACGCAGCCCCAGCCTACCAGGCAGGTGAGAAAGCAGAGACTGGTGTGGTGGTGGGGATGGCAGCCAGGTGCCAGGGGCTGGCACTTCTTGCTCCAGTGGCCATCTGTCCTGGAGGTCCAGACTGGGGCTCCCCTGGAAAGACAGCAGGACTAAGGGGGTCCTGGGGCTTGTGGGGTGCTGGACCATCAGGAAAACACTCATGGCTGCTGCTGCCTTAAAACCTAAGCCGGCTTGTTTAATTCTCTGTGTATACTCCTCTTTATTAGTGGATAAATATTAGAAAATCATCTCTCAGAAGGTGCGGTCAGGGGCGAGCTGGGCTTGCCCAGCCGACTGGGGGCAGGCCCTCCCGGGGGCCCTGGAGTGGTCTGCAGGGTAAGGCTGTCCCGCCATGGTTCATACACCAGTGTGTAGCTCTCTGCCCTCTTGACAGTGAACTTGTAGGTGCGGTTGGGCAGCAGGTTGTGGACATCGAAGGTGCAGGTGGCCACAGGGATGATGCCACACTGCGTGCATTCCTGCTGCGTCCGTGGCTCCAGCAGCTTGAAGCGCAGCTCAAACTGCTCTGGCACCGCTGGCTGGATGGTGACAAACCAGCGCAGGCTGACCCAGTCCTGGTGGGCCACTGACTCCTTTCGGTCAAACATGACTGGCATCTTGGTGCTCAGCATGAGCCGGATGTGTGGAATCTTTGTGGCCCCAATGTCGGATACCAGGCGGTGCTTGATGTGCAGGCGCCCTGGCACCATCATGGCCAGGAAGTTGTCCATGACAGCCGACAAGTCTGCCAGCCGCTGCTCCACAAGCCCCCAGCCAGCCAGGAAGGGCCGYGGGTCTGGGGACTCGAGCAAGGCATCCAGCTCTGCACGGCCACGGTCCAGCTGCTCCAGCAGGTCTCCCAGCAGCAGCAACTGGATCTTGGTCTGTGCTGTGCCCACCTTCTTCATGCGCTGGAACTTCCAGGGGTCAATGAGCTGGAACATGGTGTTGGGAAGCACCAGTGGGTTCTGGTCACCCAGGGCCAGGTGCTTGGGGAGGACCTCAATGTAGTAGGAGCACTTCTTGAGCAACTGCATGCGGGCATGGTGGCGCTTGAGCAGATGGGGGCTCAGGTCTGAGGTCAGGAACTCACGAAGCACATTGCGGTGCTCCATATAGGTCCTCCACGCTTCTGGCTCCAGCAGCTGCTGATCCTCCCCCTCTTCCACCTCCTCCGTGTCCAGGAAGGACTGTGGACTGTCCAGCCTCATCTTGTCCAGGCCCAGGCCCGTGACCTTGAAGTTCATGGTCTGGAGCTGGGGGTAAGGGCTGGCATGAGCTGCAACAGTCAGGCTGGCTTAGCCGCCCACCCAGGCCCTCTGCCCTCTGCCCTCTGCCCTCTGCCCACACTGGGCTTCTGCCCTTCCCAGGGGCACAGCATTTTGAGAAAAGGCTATCTCAAGGGCCTGACAGGAAGTCTGTGTAGCTGGACAAAAGTGGACGTTAGGGGCAGAAAACCTCTTACCAAGGGGGCAGATAGTTGTCCTTTGAAGTGAAGAGTCAAGTCAGGACTGAGAGAGTAGGCTAGGGTCAGAATGACCCAGGCGAAACCCCTGCCACTGACCAGCTGTGGGTCTGGTATGAGCTCAGCTTCTCATCTGACACAGGGAGGGTGCCCTAGGACTGTAGAGAGGACTCAGTGACCCTGAGCAGTCCATGACTCTCTCTTGGGGCATTTGTGGTGCATCCTCACCTACTGGTTCTCCCTGAGGTTGCAGAGCAGAGAAGCAGGTCTCAACGAGGAGAGTGCTCTGAGGAATCAGCACTGTATTAGTCCTAGTACTGAGTCTTCCCGTACTGAGGCTGGTGGCACAGAAAAAGACCCACAAAAGGATAGGTCCTGTCACCAGTTTTCACAGATGGGAAGCCTGAGGCTAGAAATCTTGGTAGTTTAGTCTCCTTCCAGGTCTTAAAAAATTTATTTATTTATTTTGAGATGGGGTCTCATTATGTTGCCCAGGTTGGCCTTGAACTCCTGGGCTTAAAGTATCCTCCTGCCTCAGCCTCCCCAGTAGCTGGAACTACAGGTACTGCTCCTGGCTGCTTCCATGATCTGAACCATCAGCCCCAGAGTCTGCCCTCTGCTCCTCCCAGCTCAGGTTCCAGCTCTGTGTTGGTGGGGCTGGTGTACCCCATGGCTGGGTGCTGCCACAGGCTGGCCCTGCTGCCAAAGCTCTCTGGAGAAGAGGCCAATATCCCTGGCTACCCTCAGCTCCCAGCAACCCCTGGGCTGGGCCAGTGGCTTCAGCTGGCATCCCTGATGTCATAGCCTTCTGGGGGGAATGGATTACCTAGGAGCGAACTGACCCAAGGCCATACAGGTCTGTGGTCAGACTGTGACCCAAGACAGCCTCAGTCCTTAAAGGCCTACCTTGCTCTTCCTGGAGCAAAAGAGCCAGAACAGACCCCTAGAGACACAGGGAGGGTTTCTGGGGTGAGATGCAAGCTGAGATCAGGACCCCAGGAGTCCTGGCTAGAACCCTGCTCTGGCTGCAGGCCAGCACACCTCACCACCTCGGTGCACAGCAGCCTCCCAGCTGGAAGGCTGCATAGGGCTGCCCATGAACTCTAGGAAGGGGCATCCCCAGACCTATCCTTCCCCACCATCCTGACCCCATTACGCCCCTGGCCACAGGCCACTTCCCTTAAACAGACTACCGGCACTCCAGGCATCTCCACCCTTGCGCACTCCACTCGCCTCCCGGCCCCCGTGCCCACCTCCGGAGTCCCTGCACCTACTCCTCGTTTCCCAGAGCCCTCAGCCCTCCTCTCCAAGTGCCGCTGCCTCCCCAGCCTGCGCCTGGCTTCCCGGCTGAGCGAAGCCCTGCTCCTGACTGTCAAAGCCCTCTGCGCTGCCTCGGCCCCGCCCGCCAGCGGGTTGCCATAGGGACTGCAGGTCATTGTGACACCCCACGCGGCGGGATGCCTGCGACGCGAAGTGAGGGTTGAGCGTAGACGCTGCGGGCGAGGGTGTTCAGCGCCCAGCGGATGGACGGAGAGCAGCGGCCCTCAGCCCCGCCCCGTGCGCAACKAAAGCCAGGCTTGGCGCGGGGTGCCGAACTGCGGAGCCTGAGGCCTACCGCCTTCAGCTCGTGTCCCTGCTCACTGCCCTCGGGGGGATCAGCACTGGCACCTGCGGACCCTTTTTGGTATGGGGAAGGGCACCTGCAGGAGGTCCCAGCCCTAGCACCGCCCTGGGGGTCTCCGAGGAATTCGGTCGAGGTGACCAGGAATTGGTGATGGGGTCACTTTAGCCAGCAGTCAGCAGGGCCAGGGGTGACCACTTCTCCCACGCAGACTGCCTCTCCACAGGGTTTGCCCAAGCTTAGGCCATGTCTGGTCTGGATAAATGGGGTCTCCATTTAGCTCTAGGGAAGGTCTCAGGTCCCATCCCATCTGTCCACCCTACACCCCCCACCTCCCCCACCGCCCCCCCTCTAGCCTTCAGACCTGTGGGATCACCACCCATCCCCCTATTGCTGGGAAGACAGCCTGGGGTTTTTCTGGCCATGGTCTCAGACACCCAAAGGTGCACTTCGCCACTTCCCGCCCCCACATAGGAGCAACCCCTTCCAGGATAAGACTTTGTCCCCAACTCCTCTTAGCCTGTTCTGTGGCCACAGCCCTTCAGCTCCAGCTGACTCTGTTTTCTGGGGGTAGCTTTTCTGTCCATTGGTTTGCTGTGCCCTCCCAGCCTAAGGATGGAAGCCCAGGAACTGACTGGACAGGGGTGGTGGGTGCTGATTCTGTCCTTGCCAGGACACTAAAGAAGTTGATTTAGAGATTCAAGGGAGATCTAGATTATTTGAAGAAAAGGCACTGCCAGAGAGGGGTAACTGCCTCTGGGAAGGGGAAGTGGGTGAAAACCAGCAGGAGGAAGACCTTCTAACCCCAGCTCTCCCCTAGAGGAGGAATGTGGGGACAGAAACCCCTCCTCTTCAGGCATGTCCTGATTTCTGCCCTCTCCTTGTCCCCCCCTCTTTTTAAATATTTTTTAGCTTTAGGTGGACACAGTATTTTATTTTATTTGTATGTGGTGCTGAGGATGGAACCCAGTGTCTCACACAGGCTAGGCACGTGCTCTACCACTGAGCCACAACCCCAGCTCTCCAAAAACGCTTTTTGCTATTCCTAATTTCCCATCTAATTTTTTCCCTAATTTCCCATCTACTTTTTAATCAGCTTTTCATTTGAGATATGTGGATTGAGATATGTGGTTAGTAGGGACTAACAAATCCCACATACATATACCCAGTGTCCACAGAAGGAGACCTTTTGGAAAGCTGTAGCACAGGATCAYACTGGGACACTGATATTGACCGACACAGGGAGATCCACCAAAGGAACTCCTTTGTGACTCACCCACCCTTCCTTAGCCCCTGCAACCACTAACTATGATTGTGTCATTTTAAGAATGCTGTATAGGGGCTGGGGTTGAAACTCAGTGGCAGAGTCTTGCCTAGCACACACACAAGGCCCTGGACTGAGTCACAGTACCTGCAGCCTTTGGGGTTAGCCTCTGAGGTTCAGCGTGGTTCCTGACTGTTCGGACTATCCTGTGCATAACAGTTGCTCTGTCTCATTGCTGAGTGGTGTTCTGTGGCCGGGATGGCCCAGTTTGCTTACAGTCTTGTCTGAGGTTGGGTGGGCAGTGAGCTGATGCTGGTGGAAAGTTTCCCTGGGAGCAGTGAGGTTCCACTCCTGGGGAACCTTGAAGCTGTGCCCTCTGGATATGGATGAACTCTGAGCTCCTGCAGCCAGCCTCAGCCAGACACCCAGGATGCTGCCCCTCACACCAGCACACTGATGATGAGCAGCTTTTGCCCCCCCCCAGGGACCTCCACTCTCCCACTCTCGAGGGCAGCAGGGCAGAAGCTCCAGCCTTTCTCTTGTTGCACTTGTGGCCATGGCAGGGAAGTGCCGCTCCCTCCCGCTGGGCCTGCAGAGCATGACGGGGCGGCGCCTGCCGCGGCACCGCCCACTCAATCACCCGGAGCCGGTCCTCTGCTGCAGCCCCGCCCAGCTGCTCTCAGCACAACWGGACATCACAGCGGTCCTTGGGAGGGGCTACGGGTGCTGCCCTTGGCCCCACCAGTCATTTATCCCATCTAGGAAGCAGGCGGGGAGCTGTGTGCCTTGTTTAGGGACCCTCTGGAGTGACCCTGTCTGTCACCCTATACCAGGTGCCAGCTAGGGACCTGCGCAGGAAGTCCGCCCAGCGGTCCCACCGGCCCTTCCAGTTTCTCCTTCGCACTCTGATGGCTTCGGCACTCGGCCTCCTCTGCTGGGGGGCCCTCGGCCGGGTGTGCTGACCCTAGGGCTGCGCCATGCACCTCCAGCGTCAGCCGAGCCCGACGCCCCCCAGGGGAGCGGAGCCCTTCCTCAGGAAGCGTCTGGCCTTCCTGTCGTTCTGGGACAAGATCTGGAGGCGGGTGAGCCAGAGGACAGCATCCCCGGGCCCCAGGGCCCTGACGCCGCCGTCGCCGGCCCAGAGCCGTAGCCCTCCGCCAGCTCAGCGACCGAGCCCCCGGCCTGCCCGGCGTCCTAGCCCGCCGCCGGCTCAGCGACCGAGTCCCCCACAGAGCCCTGAGTTGCGCTCTGCGCCCCCCGCGCAGCTCTTTCGTGCGCTCTACGACTTCACGGCGCGGTGCCCGGAGGAGCTGAGCGTCACTCGCGGGGACAGGCTCTACGCCCTCAAGGAGGAGGGCGACTATATCTTCGCCCGAAGGCTCTCCAGCCCGCCCAGCACCGGGCTGGTGCCCATCAACCACGTGGCCAAAGCCACCCCTGAGATGCTCTCAGACCAACCGTGAGTGCTTGGGCCTGAGCCCCAGAGTCTGTATAGGTCTGGGGAGTGGAGTAAGACAGGATTTTAAGTGGGAATGTATGCATGTTCTCTGACCCTCCATGAGGTGCCTGTTGCACCAGGATGAGCAGGCAGGTGAGCTGGCCACTGTGAAACAGATTAACCGCACTTAGAGGGAAGCACAGGAGTAGCAGGTCCAGGTAATGGACAACAGGTCAGGTGCTGAGCATGGCAGCACTCCAGGACCCTGCCCTCATGCAGGGATCCACTTGAGAGTGTTTACTGAGTGGCCCCTGCTTAGAGGGGAGGGCTTGGGCTCTGATATGTGCCAGTTGATTCAGGCCTCACACCATTCCAGGAGCTCTTCGGAGGGCTTCAGGTTCCAGGTGTCCATGCAGGGACCCCTGGTACTGTAAGGGCACTCTACCACCTGTCCACATTCTCCAAACCACCCAAGCGGGGTCCAGACATGCCCTGCTTGTTTAGGAAGAAGGTGCAAGGGGGAATGGATGAATTCCTGGGGTCCCCAGGGCTGGTACAGACCACCAGTGGCAAGTGGCCAGTGTGGATACCTGGTTGTTTGCACAACACTCTGGGATTTGGAGGGCAGGTGCTCTCCTGGTTGGGTCCTCAGAGAAGCCCAGGCTGAGGGTTCACTGGGCTGCATAACCTCCTGGGTTGCAGGCAGAGACTAAGCACTCCTGTGTGCCAGCTCCAAACAGGGCCTATGTGATGGACACAGTGCTGTGGCGTCAAGTATTGGACCCAGGTCCTAGGGTGTGGTTCCTGCCTGCCTTTCCCCTAAATGCAGTTGGTCAGCCCAGATTTTGTGGCTGTTGCAGTTGCCATTATCAAGATGTGGCAAGCTCTGGCCCAGTCTGGGGATCCTGGGAGGTTTAGATACCTCCTTCAGCACCAGCAGGTGGGGAGGGTCTTTCATCAGGCACATGCTGGGATGAACAGGTGGAGAACTGGTGGGAAGCAGGTCCTGCTGGGCCTTGGGCAGCTTCCCCTGCTCCTAGGCTCAGCTAGTCTGAGCCCTGGGCCTGGTCTCTGCAAACCAAGTTGTGTCAGCATTGTCAGCAACCTCCAGCCTTCTGGGGGGCCCTTGGTGTTCAGTCTCCTGGGAGATTTCATGTGACAGGTGAAGCTGGAGTCACAGGAAGGTGCCTGATGAGGGGCACCAGCCCTCACCCATGCCAAGGAGGCAGGTCCCAGGTCTCCCTGTTCTGAAGGGAGAGGGTTCACAGTCAGTGGATATGGAAGACAGATCCTGTGAACAGCTCCTRGAGGCTGCTGGCACAGCAGGCAGGCAGGGAAGGGCGCCTGGTGGGCAGGGCTGCTCTTGGGGAGAGCTAATGATGGCCTGAGCCTGGAGATGAAAGGCCTGACCACACTTGTGGCATCATTACTCGAGCACCTGGCTCCGCGTCCCAGGGAGAGACCTTTACCTCTCAGGGTGCACAGGGGAGTCTCAACTGCATTTGCCAGGGTCCTGACGCAGGCTCCTGGAGAAGGCTGGGGACATGTTGGGGAGACCCCCTTTCTCCTGGCCCCCACATCCTTCTGTTCTGGAAAGGAATGCCAGAGGCCCTTCACCCACAGAAGGTCTTGCTGGCCTGCTGGTGGACCTCCAAGGCAGGGGCTGTATTCAGGAAGCATTCAGTAGAGCCAGCCAGTCCTGTGGGCTGTACCTTTGGCTTCTCAAATGAGTTTGTGGTCTTCTCAGAGCCTGCTGCAGGGCCAGTCTCASGAGGGTCCAGCCCAGATTCCAGCCTTGTCCTTGATTCTGTGCCCTTCCCTCTGACTTCAGCCCAGCCCCTTGCCCTGGCCAAGCCCGTTCCCTCACCCATGGCTCCCCAGGGTAGGGGTGCAGGCTCCTCTGGTCCCATGTGGGCTGCTCTGAGTCGCACTACGGGCCCTCCAGGATCCCCTCTGACCTACTCTCTGGGTGGTCTCAGAGCTGGCCCCCATGCCCCTGGCTCACTGTGCTTCCTGCATCTGGGTGAATGAGATCCCGTGCTCACAGGACTGTTCCCACGGGCTGTGCTCCCACGGGGCAGGGCAGCCTGCTTCTCTTGGCTGGTCCCTGGAAGGTCCCAGAAGTAGGAGGTCAAGGTGGGAAGCTGAGCCAGGTGTGGACCCCCACCTGGACCCTGGACAGCAGAGACACCCAATGGGGAGGGGGCCTGGAAGCTACTTCTCCCTCCCAAGGATGTCACGGGCTCCCAGGAATGAGGGGACCACACGGAGTGACTTAAACGACTTAAGAGATGGCCCCTGACCTCTAAACTCAAAGTTGGTAGACTCCTGTGTCTAGAAATCTGAGGAGTGGGCTGGGATTGTAGCTCAGTAGTAGAGCACTCACCTAGCATGTGTGAGGCACCACATATAAATTAAAGTCCACCAACAACCAAAATAAATGAATAAATAAATAAATCAAGGAGTGGGTGCCGGCGAGCCCCTGTCCCCTGGTGTTCACAGAGGCCCAAACACCTAGCTGGCTCAGAGGGGAGCGTTCTACGGACAGAGGTCAGGTAGCTCTGGGCCACCTTCCCTGGGCAGGACCTTGAGAGTGCAAGATGCTGTGAGCTTCTCCTAAAYCCCTCACTGGTTGTCTCTCCCGACCTGCACAACCTGGCTCAAGTCACCTGCTCTAGGAGCTCCCAGGCCCCATTAAGCCACCTCCCAAGGCACCATGCCCCGTCAGATGGCACCCATGTTCCTCTCCGGTCATCCTGGCAGCCCAGAGGGTGCTACTGGGGCAGTTTGTTGGGGACCTGTTCCTGTGAACCCCCATAGGGGATCATCAAAGTTTCAAGTTTGGTGCRTTCAGCCTGTGGCCAGGGCTGATGGTTAGCCTGTGGCAGGGACTAGTGGTCACTTGATGGGCAGGGAATTGGAGGTCATTTGTAGCAGAGTTAACTGAGACCTAGTGGTCCAGGTGAGTGAACAGTCTCTCCTGTGGGAGTCAGTGTTCAGTTCACCTGTGGTGGCTGAGTTAGCCCCGGGCCAGCCTTAGTGGTCCCCTTTCCAGCTCCGAGGACTCTTGAGGTCAAGCAGGGGACAGGGGCTGGTGGAGACCCTGAGTTGGGACCCCAGATTGGGCACTGGTTGTACCTTGTCCCCAAGAGATGTCAGGACAACTGTGGCCTGAGGCCTGGCTGGGGTCACACAGTGTTGGACTTGCAGTGACCTTGCCCACTGCTTGCAGCTGGTACTTCTGCGAGATCAACAGGACCCAGGCCCAGCAACTGCTCTTGTCCCCTGCCAACGCCCCAGGGGCCTTCCTCATCCGGCCCAGCGAGAGCAGCCTTGGAGACTACTCACTGTCAGGTACAAAGGCAGTGCCTCAGGGCTGTCCCACAGTGGGGTGCTGCTCAGCCCCATCAGCTAGCACCTTGGAGCTGGGGTGGCGGGTCCCCGGGCAGTACCAGCCTCTTTACCCATGCCTGGTGAACGTCTGTGTCCTCCCCTCCCTCTTTCCCTTCCTCCTCCCTCCCTTCACTTAATCATGGACTCCTTCATCCAACAAGAATCTATCAAGCACTGGCTCTGTGYCCCCAGAGCTCGACACTGCCCTGCCCTGCAGCTGCCACACCCACCCCTGCACCCAGGGCTGGCCACCTCAGGAACCCCGGACTGGTGTGAGCCAGGCCACAGGAGAGGTTGAGGTGGGGACGCCTGCAGCAGAGTCCCCAGTGTCCATCTCTGTCTCCCAGTCCGGGCCCAGGCCAAAGTCTGCCACTACCGCATCAGTACAGCCCCGGGAGGCAGCCTCTACCTACAGGAGGGCCGGCTCTTCCCCAGCCTGCAGTCTCTGCTCGCCTACTACAAGGCCAACTGGAAGCTGATCCAGAACCCACTGCTGCAGCCCTGCGTGCCCCAGGTGGGCCTCACTGGACCCTGTTCCTGGGAGCCACCAGGACTCAGTCTCAGAGTCGCTCAGCCAGTTCCTGGGCCTGCCCCACCTGGGGGCAGTGAGTGCCCAGTGGCTTCTGTGCYCTCCACTCGGGGTGGCACTCTGGCTGTTGGAGGAAAGATGCGGGGGATCACTGTGGGGGGTAGGGGTGCACCCCATTCTGCAGGGCAGGAGGCAGTGGCAGTGACCAGTCGAGGAAGGCGCCCACAGCTGTCCCAGGCCCTGAAGGCAGAAGTGTCGGGAGGGAGTGCTAGCCCTCCCATGGGGCTGCCTCCTGGAACAGCACCAGAGCTGTGCTCCAGGGCAAGGGCAGAGCCGTCTGGTTTCTCTGGTCTCATAATGACAGCCCAGTCAGCAGCAGTAATGAAGGTCTGTGGACGGATGTCCGGCCACTTAGGTCCCCACAGCAATTAGCTCCTGCATCTCAGGGCCAGTCTTACCAAAGGCCAGCGTGGGTTTCCCTGGGTTCTAGTCCAGGCCTGGGGCGAATGAGTCTAGGGGAAAAGAGATGCCCAAGACCTGATGTGGGGGCTCTGTGCAGGAAAAACCAGGAGGCAGGGCCCTGCCAGAAGCCCACCCTGCCCAGCACTCCTGTCCACTTTGCCAGGGGAGTGGCTGGCAGGGCACTGAGCTGCCTTCCCTGCAGAGGCCCCCAGCACAGGACAAGTGGGAGCGACCTCGCTCAGAGTTTGTCCTTGGGAAGAAGCTGGGTGAAGGCTACTTCGGGCAAGTGTGGGAAGGCCTGTGGCAGGGCTCTGTGCCCGTGGCAGTCAAGACCATGAAGTCAGGTGAGGCCCTCCGTCTGAAGCCAGCCTGGGGCGGCAGTGGGGGGTGGCACGGGTGGTCCTGGTGCAGTGTCCTCTCCTGCAGCCAACATGAAGATGGCTGACCTGGCCAAGGAGATCGAGGCGCTGAAGACCCTGAGGCACGAGCGGCTCATCCGGCTGTATGCGGTGTGCTCCGACGGAGAGCCTGTGTACATCGTCATGGAGCTCATGTGCAAGGGCAGTCTGCAGTCCTACCTGGGCAGTGAGTACTGCCCTGCCAGGCTGGCCACATCCTTCTGGTTGAGTGTGGATGATGCTCTCCCCTCTGCATGGAGGCTGTCCCTGGGGCCCTTGGTGGCAGGCCATTGGTGGTGGGCCAGGCCTCTTTATTGAACATGTGTGGCCCAGGCTGCAGACACCAGTTCCTGTTGGGTCTCTGGCCAGCAGGGAGTTGGGAGCCAGGATCTGGGCTGGGGCTGGGCTTGGCTGAGGGACAGTCAGAGACATGTGTTTCTGAGGCTGGGCCTGGAGTCTACCGGGAGCAGGGGTCCCATAGGGGTCACCAGCTCTGTGTAAGGTCTATGGACCCAGCCCAGCCCCTGGGCTCCCCATCCTCCTCTCTGAGTCTCCTCTACCCTGGAGTCTCAGGGTTTTGACTCAGTGGCCAAGAAACAGCTTGCATTGAGCAGTCACATGGAGGCACAGGGCCTGCTCTTCCTGTCCTGCTCACTGCCCACTTTGGCACTACTCGGCTGTTCTCATGCCATCTTAGAGAATAGGAGACTGAGGCACAGAAGGGTCGAGAGGCTTGAGCAGGCATCTGCCTGCCTGATTCTCATGGGGCCCGTTCTCTAGCCTTTGGTCCCTGAGCTGCTTCCCCTTTGCAGGCCCCGAGGGCCAGGCCCTGAGCCTGCCGCTCTTGCTGAGCTTCACCTGCCAGGTRGCCGAGGGCATGGGCTACCTGGAGGAGCAGCGTGTGGTCCACCGGGACCTGGCTGCYAGGAACGTGCTCGTGGGCAATGACCTCACTTGCAAGGTGGCTGACTTTGGCCTGGCCCGGCTGCTCAAGGTCAGTGGGGATTCTGGACTCCTGAGCCCACGGGCAAGGAGGGCACTTCTGCGCCTGCCCCACCACTGGCCTCCCCTCACCCCCCAGGATGATGTCTACTCCCCAAGCAGTGGCTTCAAGATCCCTGTCAAATGGACGGCACCTGAGGCCGCCAACTACCGTGTCTTCACCCAGAAGTCAGACATCTGGTCCTTTGGCATCTTGCTCTACGAGATCTTCACCTTCGGCCAGTGTCCCTATGAAGGTGAGCAGCCTACCCAAAGAGAGCCAAGGCCTCTTCTGGAAGAAGTGTGATCTGAGGGAGGAGGCTCATCCGGCCCCGGGAGGGCTGAACCCTRGAGGGCACCTGGCTTCAGCCTGTGCTCTGAGGGCTGGAGGGGCTGGTGGAGGGCAGGCTGCTAGGCTGGGCAAGGTCTCACAACGAACCCAGACAGAATCAAGGTAGCTCCCACTCCATATCCACCCCCCTCCCCAGGAATGTCTAACCAGGAGACACTGCGGCAGATCAGCCGAGGATACCGGCTGCCGTGCCCAGCCGCCTGCCCAGCGGAGGTCTACACCCTCATGTTGAGGTGCTGGAAGGACAGCCCTGAGGAGCGGCCCACTTTTGCCATGCTGTGGGAGAAGCTGGGCACCATGCACAGGCGCCTCCACCTGGCCCTTTTGTGACCAGGGCTCTGGCCATGGGTGGTGGCCAGGGCCAATGCTCTCTGCAGGGTGACCCCAGGTCAAGGCTGCACAGCTGGGAACCAAACCAGCCACCCCAGCTGTGGGCCTCCTGTGCTGACACGGAGGGACCTGGACACCTGCAGATGGAGCTCAGCCACCCACACCCACCCAGATGGCAGAGTGTCCTTTGCCTGGTGTGGCCTGTGTGCTTRGTGTCTCCAGGACAGAGGAGGCACAGAGTAGAGCCTCAGAGACACTGGGTGGAGAGGCCGCAGCTGGCCTTGTGCGGGTCCTCCTTGACTCCCTCCCAGGGTGAAGGAGGGGAAGATTCCCCCACGTCCCACYGTGAGTTTAAGTGGCCAGTGCTGGGGCCCCCAGGCAGACCCAACGGCACATGTGTGCACATACGGCTGGCACGGTCTCCTGCCCCCTGTAGGCACTGGCAAACCTGGCACATGTGGCTACACCCAGTAAAGATGTTCTGATTGACTCAGACATGGGCATGGATGTGTTACACGCTGACCCCCAAGCCCAGAATCAGGCGCTGGAGCTGAAGGAGGTCCATCCTGCTAACAAAGGTGGAAGAGAGAGCAGAACCCCCAGGACACCCTGGTGCCCAAAATGAGCAGCCACAGAGTTCACTCTGTGGATGTTGGCAGGAACTGACAGGCTGTCGGTGTCAGTCACAGCCCTGCTCTGGGCTGGAGCAGAGCCAGTGGGCTGGGCTTGAGGTGGGAAGTCTCAGGACCCAGGAGGACAGGCTGGGTTGCTGGTGGACAGCATGAGACTGTTTCTAGGGCAAGCGACCTATACTTGAGGTCTGTTCCCAGGATGGGCAGTGGGTGGAGGCGGGGTGGGCGGGGTGGGGCAGGTGCTGTGTGTGTGCTCGCTGCCAGCTGCCAGCCCACTCCAGGGAAGACCAAATCCCAGATGGGCATAYTCTTGTCGGGGGTGGGATTCTTTGGGAACGAGGAGCTGGGCAGGGCCGTGTGGCTGGCCCTTGGCTACCCCACACCACAGGATACTAGGGGTGGCACACAGAGGCTGGGGGTTTCATCCAGGGTCTCCTAAGATCACCCTCTGTCCCTGGGAGCCCAGGTTTGCAGCTGTGCCCCTAAGGCTGTAGGGACAGAAAGACMGCTTCAGCTCACCATCTCCTAGAGGGACGGAACTCAGGCTCAGCTCTGAGGCTGGTTTGCTCATTATCACTGATCACAGGCCATGCCCATGTGCTGGCATAGGAGGGAGCTGGGAACAGGAACCCCTCTGTGCGAAGTGACCACCCCCTAGGCAAARCAGTGGCTCCACAGGGCTGGCACGGTCGGCCTCCTGGAGGGAGGCAGAGTGGTCCCGGGGGACCAAGGGCAGGGCAGCATGTGCAGAGGAGAGCCCTGGAGGCTTGTCATTCTGGGGACGCAGCTGAGCCTGGCTSTGCTGGGTGGAAAGGGGAGATCCAGGTGCCTCGGAGGCCACACTGGGTTCCAGCCCTGTGGGTGGCAGCAGCAGAGGGGTTTGGGCTGAGCCCTTTTGGGGCCCCCACTCCTGACCTCTGGGCCATACTTCTGCCTGGGCCTGCAGCTCCCACCCACCCCCACCCCAGGAGGGTGGGGCACTGGGCTGGAGAGGCCAGGCCCTGAGCCAAAGTCTCAGGCACCTCCCCAGCACATAGTCGGGGTGGCCTGGGCTCTGGGATGGCTCAGCCTGTTTCTGGAGTTTGGGGACCTGGGCTGGCACCTGTTCTGGGAYGGGAGGCCTCTGCAGGAGGCCATCCCACAGAGGCAGGTTTGTTTGTGGCCTGGGCACATTCCTGGGTGTCCTGTCAGCCATGGGTTGGGCAGGTTGACCCTTCTGGGTCCCCAGCAGGGACTGGGGACTCCTGCTTCCTGGTAAATCTTGGAATCACCCACACATTTGCCCAAGGACTCGCAGAGGCTTCTGGACACACCCCAGGTCCCAGGCTTGAGGGCACTGGAGCAGGCAGGGGCAGAGGCCGGTGTGCAAAATCTGTGTTCCCCGGGCCAGCCGGACACCCAGCTGGCCTGACCCCTGGCCAGCCGGACGTCCAGACACGCCTCCCCTTGACGTCCTTCCCCTCCTCTCCCCTCCTCGTCTGACCTCTGACTTCAGTCCTCTGCAGCCCCTTCCTCACCTTGGAGAAAAGTGAGCTGGGCTGCCTGAGCTGTCCGTGAACCTGCCAAATAATCCACATTCCTCCTCTTCGTCTCAGATGAAAAATATATGTCTAAAGGCTGAACTGTAGCTCAGAGCACTTTCCTGGCACAGGCGAGGTCTGGCCTTGATCCTCAGCACCACCACAAGGAAAAGTTCCAATCAGCTTAGCCCGTGATGCCCCTGGCCACTCCCCACAGACTTGGTGACTTCCTCTCCCCACTCCCTCCTGCCCCCTTCACAGCTGTCCTCCGAACCCCTTTTTGGGAGGTGCTCCTGGAGGAGTCAGGGCAGGGCCCACAGGTTAGGAAGATGGTCTGGGTCACCCTGGGGAGAGGGAGCAGGGGCAGAGTGTCAGTTTCACTGCGGGGCCGGGTGGGGGGCTGGGTAGTGGGAGGCTGAGGGGTCACAGGCAGGCTGCTAGGAAGGGGGAGGTGGGGCCAGGCAGGGTTGGAGGGGGTGCAGGGAGGGAAGAGGGGTCCCTGGCAGTGAGGTGCTTCCAGGCCGCAGCTCATGGTCTTTGGACGCCCCCATGTGCTCAGCTGAGGGTCTAGGGTTGCACCCTCCTGGTCCCTGGGCCCTTCCTGTCCCCATCCCCTGTTGGTCTCCCAGCTGCCTGAGCCCTGTCCCAGCCTTCCTTCCCAGGGTGGCTCCGAGGGACGGACTCTGAGCGTGCTCACAGGGCGGGCCAGGGCTGCTGGCACCCCCACTGACGGGACACCCGGGCCCTGGCATGCTKCTCTTGGCCCACAGGCCTCACCCCTGGGCCCCTCCCCGCCGKCGGCCTCTTCCTTGAGTCCACCTCAGGCCCCTCTTGCTTCCTCCCAAGGGTGACCCAGACTGTGGGGGCTGCCCCCAGAGGTGCCCCCTGCAGCTCCCTGCGTTAGTCTGTGGTGAAGAGGCAGCTGGCCACCTCCAGCCATCTGCCCACAGCCCTCASTGATGCCTTCTCTGGCCCCTCCTACTGCCCCTGGGACCCAGGACTCACCCCCAAAGGTCCCTGGCTCTGCTGACACCTGCATGAGATGTCCTGGTCCATGGGTGGCTCCGCCTCCCTCCCATGTGGCTGCTGGGCCAGCAGGTGGGCGTGTGAGACGGGTGGGGCTCCAGGGTGGAGCCCGGGATAGGCCAGCCCCAGTGGGTGCGGTGTGGTGGCCTGTCTGGTGATGAGGAAGTGAGTGGGGTTGGCCTGTCAGGGACAGCTTTCTGCCCTTCCCAGCTCACAGCCCTGTCCTGCTACTGTGCCTGCTATGGTGTCCCGGGACCAGGTCCACCTAGGCCCCAAGTATGTGGGCCTCTGGGACTTTGAGGCACGGACAGATGAGGAGCTGAGCTTCCGGCAGGGGGACATCTTCCACGTGACCAGGAAGGAGGAGCAGTGGTGGTGGGCCACCCTGCTGGACTCTGCAGGTGCGGCCCTTGCTGAGGGCTATGTGCCCTGCAACTACCTGGCAGAGGAGGAGGCCGGGGAGTCCGAGCCGTGAGTGTCCTGGGCTGCGAGGGCTCGTGGCAGGGCAGGCAGCTGTGTGCAAGAGTGGGCAGGGGCCTGGGGGCCTGGGGCAACTGGGAGTGTGAAAGACCTGGCTCTGTCCTTCCTGCATCCCATGATGGGCCGTGCGTCCAGATGGGCCCTGTCTCTGGACCCTCCTGTCCTGGCCCTTGGGAGAGCTGGGGGTGTGGCTCTGTGACATTTGGAGACCATGCTTCCCAAGGACACCCCACAGCCACTCTYTGGTCATGGGAACTGCTCTGCTGGACCTGGAGAGGACAGAAGGGTCCAGGGTGGGCTTTTGGGGGACTGGTAACCAGTGGCAAAGTCTATGAGGGAGTCCAGGGCTCTGGGTGTGAAGTCTGCTCACTTTCCCGACAGCCGGAACCAGACATGCAGCCTAGTTATGGGAGCGGGAAAGCACCTCGGCACACCCTTTGGCCTGCCAGGGCCAGGTGTGGGAATGCGTCTGTGAGGTGTCCCCTCTCAGCAGCCACGCTGGCTGTCCCTGTTCCCACCACAGCTGGGTGCCCAGGAGGCTTTGATGGATTACAGGGCAGCTGAGGTGGGTAGGTCCACAGTACCTGAGGACCGTGGCTTCTGGGGTGCACTGGGGCCCCCTCCCTGAGCAGGGCCAGGCCAGAAGTCTCCATTGGCAGGGCTGATGGGGACATGTGGTCAAACAGAGCCCCCAGCTGGATCCACTCACCTCGGGAAATCACCTTRAWGGCCACTYGGACCTGGTCTTTCCAGCGCCCTTCAAAGACCTTCCTAACAGGACGGGTCCCTGCTGCCCGTGTTTCTGAGAGCCCAACTCTCCTCAGCACCCACATTGAGCACCTACTGCATGCAGAAGATTGGGAGTATGCATAGGGAGATGCAAAGCAGTGCATCGAGCTGCAAGTGGGTCATCTCAGAGGCAGAGGGTGTGAGACGTGAAGGGTTGTAGGGTCCAGGAGGCCAGCACACAGGTTCAGTAGCCCTTAGGCCCAGGACCCAGCACGCATGAGGTGTGCAGAAGAGGCAGGGTGGGCAGAGGGTAAGCACTGAGGAGATAAAGTTTCATAGCAAATGAGGGGTCGACCCCTAGGGGCTCTGGGCCAGGGGTGTCCTCAGGGTGGGCCATGGCTCTTAAGGGAGTCAGTGTCRCCCAGGGAAGGGCAGAGGTCACCTGGGAGCTCTGAGGGCCCCACCCTGCAGTCCACAGTCCAGGGCTTGTCCATGCCCTCAGGYTGAGAACCAGTATGTGCTGTGGGAGGGTGCATGTGAGCAAAGCTACAGCCGTGTCAGTGTGTCTGCTTGCGTGTGCTTACGTGTGCATGAATGTGCAAGTGCATATGTGCACACGTGAGCTGAGCACACACACGCTGTCGCATGTGTGTGTGCCCTGGTGCACTGTGAGCACACTGTGGTCACGTGTGCATGCGTGTGAGTGCAATGTAAATGTGTGTGGTGCTTCAGTGTACTTGTGCACATGAATGTGTGTGCTCAAGTGCTGTGTGTGCCTGGGAGCCCTGCTGCTCAGCTGAATTCCTAAGGCTGGGGCTGTGCCTCTGTGCCCTAGTCCTGCAGCAGAAGGACCACAAGCCTACTGGGGGTTCTGACCACAGACAAGGCCTTGGGGCAGGGTGGGAAGTGCCTACCCTTCTCCTGCCTGGGTCATTGGTATCCAGAACCAGCTACTGGGGACTGYGTGGGTAGAGGCCTCTGCAGGGTCCGGGCAGCATGGGAGGGCAGCTTGTTCAGGGCTGGGATACGGGGTGGCTGGGGTTGGGTCARCTGAGACACAGGCTGTCTCCTCCCCTGCAGGTGGTTCTTTGGCCAAATCTCCCGCTCAGAGGCCGTGCACCAGCTACAGGCGGAGGGCAACCCCACTGGTGCCTTCCTGATCCGGGTCAGCGGGAAGCTGGGAGCAGACTACGTTCTCTCTGGTACAGCCTTCTTAGCCCTCCACTCGCCTGTGCCTGCTTGCCAGGGCTCCTTGGCTCTAGGCCCTCCTGGCCATACACACCCAGCTGCCCTTCGACTTCGAGGTGTGRGACATCTGGTGCTCACCCAGGCAGCTCCGAGCCTCTCCACCTGCCTCCTTTGGGGCAGAAGCCAGAGTGACTCTCACTGATGGGAGAAAGCTCTCTTGAGGGCCTTTCCTGCTGGCCTTGCCTGTGGCCGTCCACTGTTGGGAGCATTGACCCACAGGTGTCAGGCTCTGCAGGGGTGTGTGGGGAGCAGATTAGCCTCCGCTGGCTCTGGAATCTTAGTGGGGCTGGGAGTGTGGGCAGCCATCATCCAGGCAGAGTTGGGAGGTCATCCTGGGGCAGGGCCCAGCAGGGCCCAAGGAGGGTGAATGCTGTCCAGCAGCGACCGTTAGACCCTAGGCCCTTGGAGCAGGTGGGGTGGGGAGCATGCAGGGTGGGGACRGGCTGATGGCTTCCTCTGTCCTGCCACCCAGTGCGGGACGCTCAGGTCGTGCGGCACTACAGGATCTGGCGGCGCTCTGGCCGGCTACACTTGAACGAGGCAGTGTCCTTTCCCAGTCTGCCTGAGCTCCTGGACTACCACAAGGCCCAGAGCCTGTCCCATGGCCTGCGGCTGACCGTGCCCTGCTGTAAGGTAGGCCCCTGTACTTCCATGGTGTGGTTGCTCAGGGCCAGGCAAGGTACAGTGCAGAGCATGGGTAGAGTGGGACCAGGAGATGCCCCCCTCTCCTGGTCACTTTTATAACCTGACCCACCAGAGGTCAGCTGAGCTCCTGCTGGGTCCTGGCTCTGGGAAGCCAGGGAAGAAGGGTCACCCTGGCCACTGGCCTCAGGAGAGTCACTGGTGGGGGCAGGAGAGAGACATGTGCATGGGCCACTCAGACTCCTGAGCTGCCCCAAGGTTAAGGATAGACCAAGGCTCTTCCTGAGTGCAAGCCAGTGGCAGGGCCAGTGTCCCCTCCCTTCCTGTGCYTCCTGCCTGTCTCTCCAGCACGAGTCGGAGCCCCTGCCCCACTGGGCCAACTGGGAGAGGCCAAGGGAGGAGTTCACGCTCTGCCGGAAGCTGGGCGCTGGCTATTTTGGGGAGGTCTTTGAAGGGCTCTGGAAAGACCAGGTCCGAGTGGCCATCAAGGTGATTTCCCGAGGTGAGTGGATCCAGCTGGGGGCTCTGTTTACCACATGTCCCCATCAGTCCTGCCAATGGAGACTTCTGGCCTGGCCCTGCTCAGGGAGGGGGCCCCAGTGCACCAGCTGGGGGTACCTGCAGCATGTCCGAGGGGTGCCACCTGTGTCCTCACCTGAACACCCTGATCACAAAACAGAAGGCTGAATTCTCCAGGTAATGGAGAGCCACTCAAGTGCATGACGGGAAGTCTGAAAAGGTCCACCTGAAATCTGCCACCCTGAGGAATCAGGGCCTGACCCAGGAGGACCTGGGAGTGTCCAGCTCTGAGGCTCTGGCTCAGGCAGGGAGGGACGGGAGCAGATGGGGCCCCCAGGCCTGGGGTGCTCGGGGCCTGACTGTGGAAGTCGGTGTTTCCTGAGCGACGGGGTGGGGGCTGGGCCTCTGGCTGGGAGCCTCTATGAGGGATGTGCCCACCAAGGCTGTGCGTCCCCAGACAACCTCCTGCACCAGAACACCTTCCAGCGGGAGATCCAGGCCATGAAGCAGCTGCGGCACAGGCACATCCTGGCGCTGTACGCCGTGGCGTCCCTAGGGGACCCCGTCTACATCATCACGGAGCTCATGCCCAAGGGGAGCCTGCTGCAGCTGCTGCGGGGTGAGTGGGCAGGATCCTGGGCCCTCTTTTCCCTGCATGAGAGTGACACGGGCTTGCTGGAGGCCCTGGGCAGCAGGTGAGAAGTGACCCCAGCCAGACACCCAGGGAGCTCTAAGACACACATCATTGTTTTCTGGTTTAAGAAATGACCCAAGAGGGGCTGGGACTATGGCTCAGAGGTAGAGCACTTGCCTAGCCCGTTYGAGGCCCTGGGTTCGATCCTCAGCACCACATAAAAATAAATAAATTAAAGATATGTGTCCACCTATAAGTAAAAAATAAATATTAAAAAAAGAGAAATAACCCAAGACACAACAAATCTACCATGTGCTCCTTGTGAAAGTTTCACTAAGTACAGACAAGAAAAGCCGTGTCGACCGAGGCCATTCCACAGAACACCTGGCACAGCTGGCAGCCCTCACAGAGACCTGCTTCAGTCCCCAGCTCGTCTCTCCTCCTGGACTGTGGTCCCTCCTGCTGGTGTTTCAATGTGCACATGCACTAACGTGCCCCCCATGTACGCATGTGTGCACACCAACCCTGCATTCTTACACACATGCACATGGACATGCATGGACATGCCCACACGCTTACATGCCTGCACACCCACAGCCAACGCATCATACACGTGTATGCAAGAGGACGTGCCCACACAGGGACACGTGCCCACACAGGGACACGCATCTTGCTTTCCCAGGTCGTTGTCAAAAAGCTCCTGTTTCCTTCAACACAAAAGCCAAGCCAAATGCTGGCCACTAAGATGGCCTAACTGGACAATGAGATGGGAGGAGACTCCCCAGGGTAGGGTGCCACCCAGCCGTGTGCACRTGGGGTGGATATGTCTAAACGCCACAACTCTGAGACACCCAGCCCACATTCTCAGGCAGGAAGTGACCACTGCAGGTGGTCTCCGTGGGATCCAGTGTTCTTCAGAAACAGTCTGGAGTGTGGGGAGCCCTGCTCCTCCACCTGGAGGAGCTGAGGCAGAGCCGGGCTGCCATGGTCTCGGCCTCTGGAAAGGCTGCCCACAGCTACACTTGTCAACCAGGCCAGCTGCCCTTGGCTCCAGCTAAGGAGCAGCAGCTGCAGAGCCTCACAGCCAGCAGGTGAGGACTGACCTTGGCCTCCTGTTGCCCCACAGACTCTGATAAGCAAGCCCTGCCCATCTCGGAGCTGGTGGACCTTGCATCGCAGGTGGCGGAGGGCATGTGCTACTTGGAGTCACAGAACTATGTTCATCGGGACCTGGCTGCCAGGAACATCCTTGTGGGGGAGAACAATATCTGCAAAGTGGGGGATTTTGGGCTGGCCAGGCTCATCAAGGTAGGGCCCTCAGTGGGCAAGGCGTAGGGACCTCCTTTCCCATGGGAACCCAGAATGGGCAAGACGAGTTGGTTACCAATGCTGTGACCACAACTGGCAGGGGTTCTGTCCACACAGCATGGCCTTAAATCAGAGCTTCTCACACTCGGGGTCTGAGCCCTCTGGTCTAGCAGCAGTGGCCACCAGTGGCTCAGACAGTGGTCAACACAGCGTGCTGTTGACTTGCCCACCCAGACCTCAGCTCCTACGCCTGTGTGCTGTGGGGAGACGGTGCAGGCAGTCCTCCATGGCCCACCCACCCTACCCTGTCTGATTGCAGGAGGACATCTACCTCTCCCATGACCACAGCATCCCCTACAAGTGGACAGCCCCTGAGGCACTCTCCCTAGGGCATTATTCCATCAAATCTGATGTCTGGTCCTTCGGGGTCCTCCTCCATGAGATCTTCAGCAGGGGTCAGACACCTTACCCAGGTACTGGCCCCAGTGTTCCTGACTGGGCTGGTCCTGAGTGGCCAGCGGGGGTGGCGGGAGGTGCTTCCTTGAGAGCCTCATCTGGAACACCACACCTGTACACTGGCTGAGCATCCAGGAATGTCCATCCCTGTGCCTGGGGCCACTTCCTGGAGTCACTGTCCAGGGGGAGGTCCTTAGAGGCAGACTATGCTGGAAAACGTCCAGGACACAGTGGTGGTCATGCTTCAGAGAAGGCTTCTGGGGAGGGGCGGCAGGCCACGGGGTGTGGCTTCCAGGTGGYGGAGGGTGGGCACTGGCCTCCTGGTTCTTCAGCTCCTCTTCTCCCACTGGCAAYAGGCATGTCCAACCACGAAGCCTTCCTGAGGGTGGACGCTGGCTACCGCATGCCTTGCCCCCTGGAGTGCCCACCTCCCGTGTACGGGCTGATGTGCTCCTGCTGGAGCAGGGACCCAGAGCAGAGGCCTTGCTTCCAAGCCCTGTGGGAGAGACTCTCTGGCTTCACCAGGTAYGAGAACCCACTCTGAGATGCCTTGGGGGCTGCCTGGCCTGGTCCTGGCTGTCCTGGACCTCAGGAGAAGTGTGGTCCTTTAGCTGACTGACCTGATGGTGGCACAGCAAACWGCACGTGGGGACCTGAGGAAGCAGCAGAGCAGCTACATGACTCTGACAAGCAGCAGGCTGCAGGCCTGGCCCAATGCCCTCACTGGCCGTCTCCCCAGCCGCCAGCCTCCAACGTGGTCCTTTGGCCACAGATGAACATACCCAAGACCTCTCCAGAAAAGCATCCTTTTGCCTTTGGAAGTTTTCTATGCCATCTCCTCTAAAATCTTAGTCGTCGTCTTAAACAGACTTCAGGGAAGTAACCATCGACACAAGAAAACTGAGGTGAAGTCTAAGAAGTCTTTTCCCCAGAAAAGCAGCACAGAGCTTTATCCAGTCTGGGCAATCGGAACCTCCCATTTTTGACAAAAACACAATTTGGTTAAAAATACGGGTGGAGAAAACCCCCATATTTGTCTCTGGGTCACTGATGGTCTGAAGGGAGAGCCTGGTGCGGCCTCCCAGGTACGAGTGGCACTGCCCCTCTCAGGGCGTCCCCACGCTGGTCTATAGACCCGGGGGGAGTTCTACCCAGGTTGCTTGGAGAAAGTGAGTGTTCACATAAGTATCCCCAAACTCAGAAACAGCAATGATCCTCTTTTTTGTACCAAGGATGGAACCCGGGGGTGCTTAACCACTGAACCACATCCCCTGCTTTTCTATTTCTTTCGTTAAGTTGCTTAGGGCCTCACTAAGTTGCTGAGTGAGGMTGAGGCTGGCTTTGAAGTCGTGATCCTCCTGTCTCCACTCAGTGGTCAAGTGTCCCTTGGTTCAATCCCCAGTACCCCCCCAAAACAAAGCAACATCAAAAACCCACCGGTCACCCTATACCCAACACCTGCAGAACACCAGCACACCGGGGAGAGGGAGACGCATGCGCTGGAGCTCCCGCGTGGTGTTGGGGCCTCGAGATGTGGAGCACTTGAGTGCAAGGGGTCTGTCTGCAGGTGCAGCAGCTGTACTGAGGACGACGTGACGCACTGGGAACTGGCGTCCCTCCAGTGGAGGCAGGCGGGTGTGGTTCAGTTACTTCCTGTTTTCCCTGAGAATCTAGGGTTTCTGAGTTTGAAATCATGGTTTATAGTAGTTGAAACCATTAGAAATAACGAGGAAACAAGACAAGTATGATGCTCTTTGATTGGCTGAGAGGTAGCGATCAGCCTGTCCTAAAGCAGAGGGACTGGTTGTCACAGGGGTATTTAAAACATACAGCATGCCTGGGAACAGACCCTCCCCTCCTGTAACCAAAGCTCACTAAGTCAGCCTCAGGGGTGACCGCACAGAGGTGCACTGGAGCTGGCTCTGTGAAAGGCCCTTTGTTATGCCTTGGCGACTGGCCAGGAGACAGGACTTTGCTTAAACACAGCTTCTTGGGCTTCACTGTTTTTTACTAGGTCTTCGATTACTGAAAAGCATCTTCTCATGATCAAGAGGGCCAAGTATGTAAACTTCTAAGTTTGTCTTTAAAAAATCTTTTGTCAATTTGATTAAATCAATTACCAAACCTTTTGGCATGACTGACAACATCTAAAACCAAAGTTTAAATTAAGTCCCTTTGATCTTGAACTTTGACCTTGAGTTTCCAGAATGCCCCCGGACATAGCCAGAAGTGGAGGTGGTGTACACCAGCAACCCAGGAGGCTGAGACAGGAGGACTGCAAGTTCAGGGGTAGCCTCAGCAACAGAGTGAGGCCCTCACTCTGAATAAAATATAAAAAAAGGCTGCAGATGTTGCTCAGTGGTTAAGCGCCCCCCACCCTRGGTTCAATTCCTGGTACCAAAAAATAAATAAATAAAATAAAAAGGGCTGGGGATGTGGCTCAGTGGTGGAATGCCCTGGGTTCAATCCCCAGCGTACAGAGGGGTGAGAAAGTCACCTCAGCTTACACAGGAGAAATCAGGTTCATCAGGCTCATCTGTGCTCCCCAACACAGCCAGCCCTTCCCTGGGCTGCATTTACAGTGGTCTGTGCTGCAGTTGGTGCTGATGAGTGCTGCAGAAACCTGCTGTCATGTCAGCACGCTGTTGCCATAGAAATAACCACATTTCCTTGTCAACTGCACAACTGATGTAATCAACTCATCAGATYCTTAATCACGGCTTTCTTAAGCTCCTTCACATTCACCGACATCATAAGGAAAGCATTTGCCATCAGCTACGGTCCAAATACTTCTCCTTCAAGGTCCCACGGAGACTGACAGGTGCTCTGGTACAAGCTCCTGGCAGTGCCAGGGGGACAAAGGACCCTGGAGAGAACTGAGGGCTCAAGGCCGCCCCAAGATGGACCCCCARGGATCACCAACCCAGAAGAGAATCAACTGGTGACCATTTTTATTWTTTTTTTTAACGATTTTAACATTGCTGGTCCCTGACTATAGTTTTCCTGATTTGAGGACCCCGCCTGCAGCAACTTGGGAAACACTTGTGAACAAAGGCAAAATATTTATGCTTTTCCCCTGATCCTTCTAGAAGTCACAAACTATTAGCAAGCATCCCTGCTTTCAGGGCAACATAGCCATCTGTGTGCCMAGGCCCTGCTTTCCCTGGGACAGACACAAATGTGGATGCTGGCTGCTGCCAAACTTGGGCTGTGGTGTCCTGTTTCCAGCTGCAACTAGATACATGGACCTCATGGTCCTTGGGAAGAACTGGCATGGGACCTTGGAGACATGACGGCCTCAGAGTGAAAAAGGATGTTGCTTCCTGCAGGCTTAGAAACTCAGAGATGCATTAGGGAGACTGGTAAGAGGACCCACCCCACCCGACCCCCGCCACACCCAGGCCACAGGGGCAGGCCCAGGGCTTGGCTTCCTAAAGCAGCAGCATCATGTCCCTGTGTTCTTTTGATCCCGTTATCTGACTGCATCCTGAATACTTGTCTCCAGTATATGGCTACCACTCTCCACACCAGCATTTCCAAATTCCAAGATTATAGCTTAGAATCACTAAACATTAAACCTGCCCCTTTCCTGAGGCTCTAGAAACTGTAGCTGGATGACTTGGTAGAGACTTAAATCATGACTCAAGTGTGGAACACCTTGGTGACACCCCAGTAGCAGACCAGAAAGCCTGCCAGGTGCCACCTGAAGATGCTGCAGGCCCAAGGAGTAGAATCTCTGGGCTCGAGAGGCCTTTGAGCTACTCTTACCACAGCCTCTTCCTTGAYCCCTGACCCCATGGGGCATGCACAGAGCCCAGCTGTGGGGAAGCCAGCACCTCCAAGAGGGGACAGACTGTGTGCTCCCACTGGATAATGCTCCCTGCTCTAACCTGTTAGATCTTTGGCTCTTCCCAGGAAGTTCCCACATGGGACTTATGCAGCTTGGAGAAAACTGAGAGGACAGTGGCAGCAGGAGGCCGCAGGTCCAGGGGCATCACTCTCTGGCTTTCTCTCCCAAGGTTCTCACAGGGTGGGCGTCTTGTCCTATCCTGAGCTGGAGCTCAGAGCTTCGGTCCTGAGCACCTGGGATTTCAGATCTCGGACACTTGGCCAGTGGTCTTGCAGATATCTCAACCCAAAAAAATGAGTTTGAAATCAAAAGCATTTCAGGTTAAGCTTTTCTGGATGATAACACCCAGATTACTGTTTTGGGTCTTCATTCTTAAGGATTGCGTATCACATAAAACTTGAACTGTACAACTCTGTATGCTTTTCTCTCGTTAACCTGTCCACTGTTACAGTGTCTCAAGAGATGAAACTTGGGGTGGGTTTCTACAGCTGCCTCTGGGGGCCTTGTCCAGATGCTGTGGCTAGAAAGACTTACTGGGGCCCAGGCTACTCCTTGGAACACTCCCTCTCCTGGACCCATCTCGGGTGGGAAGGAGCCCCCACTGGCTCCAGCACTAGCCGCCTGGCCTGGGAGTCTGAATGAAGCTGCATCCACACTACAGGAGCCTGGACTCCTACAGGGAGGCAGGAGGGAGGCTCAGCTCTCAGGGACCATAGGCCACTGAACTTCCATGGACTCTTGTAGTGATTTATAGCACAAGGGACAGGAGGGCCTGCTGAGTCCATCCATAGCTCTGTTCCCTACCTGTGGGGGCCCCCTGACCTCTGCTGGCCTTAAGTTACCCTGCCTAGCTCTTCTGTCCACCAACTACACTGAGGCCACCTGTGGAGCCTCTCCACCCCACCCCTCATGCCTGCAGCCCCCAGTCTCAGCCTGTCCTGAGCATTGTCAAGGTTGGGGACAACACCTCTGCAAAAAGCAACTGAGAAGGCCAGCCTCAGTCCTAACTACCCCACCACCCTCCCTGGCATTAAGGGATGGCCTTGTCAAACTCTTCCCAAAGGAGTTCTTCATGGGACATCGAGTTTCTCTAGCAGAGGGGTCCCAGACACATAGCCAGGACCCCAACCTCCCACAGTGGCCAGAGCAACTGCCCTGAGTTGTCCTTGTCCAGCTCCAGAACTACCTGCCATTCTGAAGCAAGGCACCCCATCTGCTTGGGCCCACTTGTATGGAACATCTCATCAGACCTGAGATGGGGCCTCAAGGTGAGGTCCCTGAGAAAGGCCCCCAGGAAGATCTGGTAAACAGGACCAGCCACTAACAGAGGGACCAGGAGAGACTAAGAAACCTCTCAGACACACCACTGGGGCTGCCCGCTCTTTGGAGTTTATTTTCTGCTTGAGCAAGGCACAGTTATGTGGATCAGAAAAGCCCACTGTGATTTGGAAAGAAGGGGTCTCTTGCCTGGCGCCTGCCATCTCCATGTGGAAGAACCCAGCTGGTCTCTGCTTGCTGTAGCCCATCGACCCTACCCGCTGGAGTGGGCAGGATTTGACCTAGCACCTTGGAAGCCCCAATCAGGTCAGGACTGAGACCCAGTGCTGGCTTGACCCGGCTGGTTGACTGGCTGCTGCTTCGTGGTTTCTGGAGCCAGGCCGCTGGTGACCATGCTGGTGGAGGCCTGGGTGGATTCCGAGCTGGGGGAGAGCAGGTATTGTGTCAGAAGCTTTGTTTTTTGCTGCCCTCCCACCCCAGGAAGGGAGACTCACTGCTCTGGAGACTCCACCACTGTGGCCATGAACGGAAGAGTGGACTTCCCGAAGAAGAAGCTGGCCCACCAGTGACCTGGGTCGGCCTTGGGGAGACCTGAGAGAAG